TTCCCAGTCCAGGCATATGCCTGGGTTGCAGGCCAGTTCCCACCAGTGGACGCATGAGAGGCAGCCATACAGTGATGTTTCTCTCCCTCTCTCCTTCCCTTCCCCTCTAAAAATAAATAAAGTCTTTTTAAAAAATAGAGAATGCATATAGTGTGACCAAAAGTGAAATGGAAAGCAGCTCCATCTTTGTGTATTCATGACTCAAGGTTAAGAATGTCTTGGAAGACATTTTGGAGAGACTGCCAGAAGAGTTCAACATGGCAGCTATCATGCAAAAACACTCGCACAGAAACCCCTACGTTCTTGTTTGCTTCCAAGAATGTGAGAGGATGAACATTCTCCTTCGGGAAATCCGCGTTTCACTCCAACAGCTAGACCTTGGTCTGAAGGTAAGTTGGGGTGGGCTAGGGGAAGCAGCCCCCCATCAAAAGATAGTCACTGGGTGGTCCTTTTTCTCCGTGCAAGGGGGAGCTGACGCTGTCGCCTGCTGTGGAAGCCCAGCAGTCTGCGCTGAGCTTCGACAGGGTACCAGACACTTGGAGCAGACTGGCTTATCCATCTACCCACAGCCTGGCCAAATGGTAAGCTGCCACGTCCTGGCCCGCACCGGCCTTATCCTCCTCGGGGCTGGTTCGTTGTCCTGAATTCTCATTCAGCCCGTAAAAGCTATAAAGGCTGTGCTCTGTGACCGGACTCGTTAAGTGTGCGAACTACCACGGGTTTCATTTGTTTCCTTAGTTGGTTGCTTCAAAAGCAAAGCACTCAATTGAAGGTCAGGGTCAAAGCAAGATTCCATTGCTGCCTCTTACTTAATCACTGTTTGATCTTGGACAAAGTACCTGACCTAATTTTGCATTTTATCATCTGAAAAATGTAAGTAATAGCACTCTCTCACTGAGTTATTACCGCCACGGGAGGCAACTTGAATTTGTTCTCATATCATCATCCACCTTCATTTTCTTTCCATTTGTTAAAATAAAAAAGAATTTATTGGCTTACATGACTGAAAAAACCAAAGGCAGTTCCAGCTTCAGGCTCTGCTTGATCCAAGGGCCTGTTTTCAGCACCTGGCCACTCCGTGTCTTCACTCTGTTGCTCTCCATGGTTTTGGGTTTTTTTTTTGTTTTTTTTTTTCAATTTTCCCCATTACAGTTCACATTCAATGTTGTTCTAACTTCCAGTGTACAGCATGGAAGTTAAACATTGCTGCTTTTTGCGCCTCACCCTGGGCTCCTTCGTTCTGGGCCCCTATTCTTTTGTAGTAGGTGACGGGGAGTAAGTGGGATTGTTTGTGTCTGCATTCTGTCACCGCACTCTCGTTCCTGACTGGTAGCTCACCTGTATGTAGGTAGGATTTTAGAATACGATCAGCTCCGCTCAGAACTTGATTTTCACAATTCCATTGTCTTCTCCCATTTCATAAAGCTGATGAGTCTATTCTTAAATAGACTTGTCATTTCTTCACACATCATTTATTTTCTCTGGGAAGTTAAGGGTTTTCTCTTTGTACTTGACATCTTGTCATTTTACTACTGCATTTAGTTATGGACTTTTAAGTGTATTCTATTTGGTGCCGTGTGATGTGATAAATTTGAGTCCACCTTTGATTTCCACTCTGAAAAATTCTTAGCCTTTGTCTCCAAAACTTGCCTTCCCTGTTCTCTTCATTTACCTACCCAAACTCTCATATTTTGTGTCTGCTGCATTCTGGTTGATTTTGTCAGTTCCCGGTGATCTTTATTGCACTTTAAGTTGTCTCCAGTCTACTATTTCTCCTCTTAGTTTTAAAATCTCATGGTCCCAAATCAACCTTACGTTTCTTTTTCCTTCTCATGAGTTTAAACTTACTTCTTTAGTTTTTTTTTTTCAGTATCCTCTTATATTTCCTGAGTTATCAACTTTCCCATTTGTTGGGTGTGCTGATTTTTCACACTGTATTATCAGTTCTTTATACTTGCCTGACAGATTAGCTACTTTAAAAAAAATCAATGTGTTCACCGCTGGAGGTTTTTGTAGGCCTTGCTCTATTCTGAGCACATGGTGCTGTGGAGGAATCTGAAGCTGTCATTTTTTTTTCCTTTTATAAAAGGCTTCATGTTTTCTCCTGATTAGGGGAGTGTCTATCTTCAGTTTATTTTAAGATACATCATTGTATTGAATATTCTGTTGCCAAATTTTCTTGAAACACAGTATGGCCTTGATTGTACAGATTCAAATTCATAATTTAGGAATTCAAGTTTTCTAGAATTGTATTAGTAAATACATGTTGTTTCAACTTTCATCTTATTTTCACTTTTTTTTTTTTTGCTTTTTAAATTTATTCTGCCTTATGCTGCTTTGCTTTTCACTTGTTTCTATCAGTGTTTTTCCCACTTCTGAGATCTTCAAATTTAATAACCTATTTCTTAACCCACTTCATTATGTAAAAACTTGTCTGGCTGTAATGTTTATCTTCTGTGGCAACCTTTTGAGCTAGTCTTTTTCTATCTTTGCTTTCCATTTTTTTTCTTTGTTACCTTTCAGTTGCATCAGGGATTCGTAATATGGGAGAGAGGGGGGCACAGGGCTGTATTCTAAGCTGGCCCGAGTTTCCCTTCTGGCGGCCCAGGTTTGAACGGGACCTTTCAGAGCCTTCCCTCCTCCACAGCCCCGTCTCAGGCAGGCCCTCCCTGCAGGGCTGGAGTGTGGGGATGAGCCCTCACCCAGCCCTGCTTCCTCTGCACCTCGATCCAAACCAGGTCCCCCAAAAACTTCGGGGCTAGCCCGAATGGTCCCCACCCTGGAGAACTGTTTTACTAGATTTTTTATTGGCCTATCCTGTGTTCCATTACTCCAGTTTTTAACATTCTTTAAATTTACATTGCAAGGTTTCATGGGTTTCCTAATGTTACCCAAGTGCGTTTTTCCTTCACCTCTGTGAGCCAGCTTCCTCCCAGTAATTACAGATACTCCCCACCTGTGCAGCTGAGCAGCAAGCACCTGTGTAGAACAGCAGGTTCTCAAAACACAAGCAGGCGGTGGGTAATGTCACTTGGTAATTACTGCGTGTGGGAAGGCCCCCGTAGCATGTTCTGCCGTGTCTGCCTTCCCCAGCAACCCCAGGCCAGGATCGGTCACAGCTGCTCCTCCAGGAACCTGTCCCCTCCCGCCCTGTGCCTCCATGTTCCTTTTTGGCACTTGTGTAGAGTCATCACACAGCACTAGAAAGATCTGAATAGTTACATAATGGAGACAAATGTCCCGTATTCCCCAGAGTTTCCTGTCTCTGATGCTTGTAAGACAGGAAAGCCCTACTAGGGGGAAAAAATCTAGCCCTTTAAAGGGACAGACAACACTCAAGTCATTTGCTAATGATTTTACTAGTTGTCAGTGGAGGACCTTTCTAGAATCTACTTAATCCTATTGGGAAACCTGTATTACTAAAAAGCAGCTTGTTTCTTCCTGCCCTCTGTTCGTCAGGTTTAATGACCTCCTCTTGCGATGTCGGGAGCTGGACACATGGACACAAGATCTTGCCCTCCCAGCTGTGGTGTGGCTTTCCGGCCTCTTCAACCCTCAGTCCTTCTTAACCGGTAAGGCCTGAGCTCCCAAACCACACCCCTAGCAGAAACCCTTTCACCTGGGAGTGTTCCCCCCGCCCTGCTCACCAGGTTCAGGCAGGAGCCACTGTAGGAGTGGGAGACTAGGAGGAAGTAGCGCTCGCTGGGGGCAGGAGGCCCAGGTGCGGCTCAGTGGGGTGAGCCACAGAGCGTTTGCGAGGATGTTTTCCACCAAGGCCCCAGGCCTCCCTCACCAGGGCCCGGCTCCACTTCGACTGTGAAGCACCTGCCAACCAGGTGGCCGTCCCAGTAAACTCTTTCTGAAAGGTGCCAGGTTGTCCGGAAGGCCTTAGCTCCCCAACCCTTGCTCTACCACGGCCACCTGCAAATAACGCAGGCTGCAAAAAAACGCCCTGCGGGACTGAAGCACACCTCTGCAGGTGCACAGCGTTCTGGGAGCGTTACATTCAACTTACCACCACTCCTGTCCCTCCTCCTCCCAAAGCAATTATGCAGACCACGGCTCGAAAAAACGAGTGGCCACTGGATAAAATGTGCTTAACGGTTGAGGTGACCAAAAAAAGTAGAGAGGAATACGGCCACCCCCCACGAGAAGGCGCCTATCTGCACGGGCTCTTCATGGAAGGTAAGCCGCTCCGTGGAGCACCTGTGCGGTGCTTCAGTTAAGGGCCTTCCTTACTCAGGTTCAAGTTAGTATTCACCTTTCTCAGCATTCAGGCACATGAATGGTTATTTACCTCATTTCCTGCTTCTTTTAAATTTTAGATGCCAGGATGTGTGTCTGAAGTGAGCCAGATTTCATGGCATTGGGGTGATGGCTGTCACTTAAATTTGTGCATGCATCTGATTAATACCACAGGACCATTTAAAACCTACATTTTGCTCTCGATACACTCAGTTCAAAAATCTACTTTTTTCACTTTATTTTATTGCAAGATTTCCCGCCAGTGCACAGTGTACTTCTCTCACGGGGGCAGGATGGGGAGAAATATGCAGTGATTTCCAATTTACTGGCATGTGCTTGTTCTGCAGGACATTCCCCTTATCCTAGTCTTTGCCAAGATGCTCTTTTTCACTGTAGAGCAAGTGCCACAGGTTCAAGTGTTTGAAGACAGGCCAGGTGATGTGAGTGAGGTACCTGAACTCGGTGTAAGGTAGTGGGGAGAGAATGTGGTAAATTGGATTCCTTATAGGCATTCAAATGCACTTGTTTAGGGCAGAGAAAACCAGTTTGCTTTAGTGTGTGGAGTGTTATGGAATGTTTTCATAGGGTTTTTAAATTTTCCTAAGAGCAGTGGTCTGCTTGCCACATTGTGCGTGCACCTGGATGGCAGGCATCCTCAGTCCTGGGCCAGCTTGGCAAGGAAGCCAGACGCGCAGTCACGTGACAGAACTGGAACATTTATTGCCTGCAACAATTACAAGATTGGTCCCCCCACCACGGCGACCTATGTTTCTGCTGCAGGTGCGAGATGGGACGCCCAGGCAGGAACCATCGTGGAAGCCCGCCTCAAGGAGCTGACATCGGCGATGCCGGTCATCTTTGCCAAAGCTGTCCCCGTGGACAGACAGGAAACCAAGCACACCTACGAGTGCCCAGTGTACAGAACCAAAACGAGGGGCCCCAACTACATCTGGACCTTCAGGTTGAGGAGCAAAGAGAAGAGGGCCAAATGGGTCCTAGCAGGCGTGGCTCTGCTGCTGGAGGCCTAGGTCACCCTCAGCTGGGATACAGCGAGGGTTTCCATGGTGTCAGTGTCACTGCGTTGTTTGTTCTGCACTTTATCCCACGGACAGGCATAAGACATTCCAGTTTCTGCAACTTGTAAGTAACCGTGCATTAATTTTTTTAAAACACCATCCTTAAAGAGGGGAAGAGAAAGAAGCCAAACCCTGTCAGAACATGTTAATTTTTAAGTCTCCCCAGCACCAGTCCCACCACACACACACACAGCACCTGTCACGTGGTCATGGAGGTTCCACTGAGAACACAACCTCGAACACAGTGGGGTTAGAAGTCTCTGGTCAGTAAGTGGGATTCGTGTTTAGATGATACTAAACAAAATCTTTTTAAATTAAAAGTCAGCTCTCACATTTATAGAAGTGACTGGCCCCAAGCAGCAGGCGCTCCAAGGCCTCCAGTGTTGGAAACTGACAGTCCACTTTCCATTCAAGTTTTTAATAAAATGTAAAACTCCAGAACACTCAAGTTCTGTGGTTAATTGCACTTTGTAATTTAGGGGAACGTTTGTCAATTTAAATTTCTAATCACACAGAGGTTGAAACCATGTGGCTTGAACTAAGGTAAGGTAACCCCTTACCTTAGGTCAGGGCAGTAACCCCTGTAAAAACGTGGCCTGGAGTTACTGCTTGGGAAGTAAAGTATCAAGGCGACGTCAACAGCAAGAGTTCCTTACGCAGGGTTTTCTCAAACTTACCTGAACTTTAACTGTGCTTTTTAATCATCGGCAGACACTTAACAATTAGACACTTAACAATTCAAACAGTCCTGCGTACATAGATTCCTCGAGGTGCTTAGCTGTCTTCCTGAGAAATCTTTGTAAGCATATAAACAATCTTTAAAACAAATAGTATTTAGATCTACTAAGAGTTTCTATATAAAAACACAACCATAAAAAAAATCTTAGGCACAAATGGTACGTAGGGCACATCTTGTGGGAGTACGCAAGGTGAGCTGGCTGGTTCTTCTTTCTCTTAATTGTCCTCCACCAGCTGCTTTTGTAAGCTGAGGGGAAAGATGGGGCGGGTTAGTGTGGTACGTAATGAATGGGCGGGAGGAAAAAACAAAGTAGTTCTAGGCTCGGGAAAGTACGAAACCCAAACTGGGCCTTCTGATGCTCCACATATTTCATAGTAAACTCCGGGGGTGGGCCCCAACTAAGACCTATCTCATTCTAAGACTGCTTTTAGAGCTTGTTCGGGGCCCCAGTTCCGTCTCCTTATCCCCAGAATGAGGCAAGCCTAACCATGCATCCCCCTAATCTCTGCTCTGCCCAGTAGGGTCAGGGCTGCCACTGGCCTGTCTTGGACGCTCCATTTCTGTCTCACACAGTAAGGGGAACTGGACGCAGGCAGTCCCAAGTTGAAAATCCTAGCAAAGGAGGGAATTTTGTAGCCGGGCAAACATCTGTCCTGAGTCTCTCCAATGCAAAGAGCTGCAGAATGGGTGGCATTCAAGGTGGCTGGTAAGAATCGGCCTGAAATGAAGCCACTGCTTCCTGCCTGTGGGCGGGTCTGCCTTGCTGGCCCTGGGATCACAACCTCCTTTTGGAGTTGACTCACCTCTCCAGATACTCCTTCACGTTGTCGTAACCGTAAAACTTGGCCAGGTGAATGAGGATCCCCGTAGCACAGCGGCCATCCCGCCTCCTACAGTAACTGCAATTGCAGATCCCACGGCAGGGAGGACAGATCCAGTTCTAGGAAAAAGAGGAAGCAGAAATTCCTGAATTATCTGCAGGCTCCGGTCGAGCCTGGTTCAGCTCAGCAGACCTCTCCTCAATCTTTAGTCACATGTCATCTCTTCTTTATAACCACAGGACAAAAATTTAGCTCCTCTCTCCTTCCTCTCACGGGTCTCAAAGAGGCCCCAGATCACCCAACACCACACACGGGGGAAACACTGAAGATGTTGGTTTCAGACAGGATCAACCAACCTAACAAGCAGATATCTGTTCAAAATTCTGGAGAATTTCATAGTAGTATTGGAACTATACAGGTCACAGAGCCAAGGAAGCTGGCCCTGGTTTCAGGAGCAGAGGGTTTCCAAAAGAGGAGTATGAACATGAGTTTTCCACCTCCCATTTGTGTGACTGTTGTTAAATCATTGAACCGGAGTGGCAGTTTATATAGTCTTGTGCAAATTGGGGAAAACATATCTTATCTACCTGTATGACTGCTGTGTAAGAGGTTAAGAACAAAGAATGCCCAGGTTCAAGGTCATACTTGATCCTATTCTTTTTACAGAAGGAGCCCAGGCATAGGGAGGTTCTATATCCACTTCATAAGGGTAAATGAATTAATAACTGCAGTAAAGTAAACTGCATTCACAGATGTGACACCTTAGAGCAGTGCCAGGCACACAGAAAGTGCCCTACACTGGGCCCAGGTAAATCTTACCATCGCAGGGAAGGCACACGGGTGCGCCTGGACGAACCAGACAACTAAGAAAGCTTGGCTGACCCTGGAAAGCCCAATGCATTCTCATCTCCTGCCCTATCCATTGGTCAGCGTGTTCCCTTTCCAGAAGGAAACCCCACTCTTCACTTCTCCTAGTGTCTTAAGATGCAGAGGGGGGTGTCAAAGGCTATAGAGTTCTCCTGCTATTGGCCCCTGACAAAGGGCCCAGGGAGCCCCACCTGCAGGCTTCCCATCATCAACACAATACAAATGCCCGCGTTGCTCCTACCGGGTCCAGCAGTGCCGATCTCACGTCTTCCCCATAGCGATTCCGCAGGCACGGCCCACAGAACTGTCCCCGCACCCCTCCGCAGCTCTGGTTCCGACACACCGTCTTGGTGTCAATGGTCTTCTGGCGACACTGGTGGCACGTGTTACCCTGCAGGGAGAAGGCTGGAGTGGCCGGACATGGATTTATAGGGCGATGGCCCCAAGGCCACACGCTGCCATGCACATTCCTAAGTGCCCGAAGACACACTGCCCCTCCCTCAGAATCGGGGGTCGCTGTCTCTCTGCTACAAGCCATGGCACCCGCAGTAGCCTGTATGCACGTTTAGTCCTGGGGCCAGAGAAGCATCTCAGGGCGTCTGAGGCTGAGCAGGGAGCCTAGAAGAAAGGAAATGACCAGAGAGACAAGAGGAAACGCAGGAGGGTGACAGAGGGGCAATGAATCCCACGCAGCAGCCCTCAGCTCCGACCTCAGCTGACAATTCAAACCATTTACCACCACCTTAAGTCAGGTGTGCATGATCTCAAAATTGTGCACACCACCATAAAGTTTCCCTCTAAAGCACCGTTTTAAAGAAATTTTAACCCATGCTCTACCAACCAAATAATGTTTCTATGGTTAACCAATAATTAAGACATAAAAAGTACAGAAATATAACAACTACAAACAAACCTGCTTTTTGAAACTGGCCCTCCACCGTAATGTGCCAACACCAGGCAGCCCCCAGGGAAACCTCTCCCCCAGGGAGCGGTCCTGCACCAAGCTGTCCCTGCCCCCCCCCTTACAACTGACCCTCCAGTGGGGAGGTGGCCCTGGGTGTAAGCCTGGCCATGGTGTAAAGACAACACAGGATTGCAAGGACGAGTGCTCTGGCGTCCCAGTAAGAATGCCCAGCACGGGAGCAATCATCACACACGACTTACCAGGACTTTATCGTAGATTTTATCTCGAACGGTCAGGGCCACGTTTCCCAGGTCCTCCTCAGTGATGTCCTCCACTGCCCGGAAAGGAGACAGCCGGTGGCGCCGTCTCGTGCCCTGGCACCTCCCCTACAGAAGCACACAAAGCAGAACCTGATGTGAGACATTCTGAGTGATTAAACATTTTTTTAGTTGAAACCTCAGCCTTCTAGTACCATCTGTGTTAACTCTGCTCCTCTTTTGCTTTCCTAAAATCACTCGTTCCCCGAGTCATTCACTGCACCCCTGCCCCACAGGGCCAAGCTTCCTTTGTGGCAAAGGGACAGAACAGTCAATGCAGAGCTCAAGCAGCTACTGCAAACTCCGAGGACAGGGAAGTGAACCACAATGGACACCACCTCCTTCTGGAATGAAGACACTTTAAATATTTCATTCCTAAAACAAAGGCTTGGGGCAATCACGGTACTTTCCCCGAAGCAAAACCAGAAGGCTGATGGAGCTGCTAACAGGCCGCACTGCGCCCCTGCAGACGCATCTAGGCAACTTGGTCTGCTCCTTGGTAGGGCTCAAACGATTCCCCCTGGGGCCTAGAGTTCAGACCAGGGCTGCTTCTCTAAGTGTGTGGTCTGGGGAGCACCAGAACCACCTGGGAATTTGCTACAGATCTACCAAGGCAGAACCTCGGCCTCCGCACTTCTGACAAGCCCTGGATGACTAGGATGGCTGCTGGTATCAGCGGACCACTGGCTTAGACAGAGAATAATTTGTTTCCTAGGGTCCAAAAGTACCCCACTAATTGTCTTCCTTCTTCTGAAACCGTAAAACTCGTCTGCAAACTTGCTGGTCGAGACAGTGAAGTTTTCCAGAGCGAACTTCTCCGGCGGCCGTGCGCTCCGGGTGGGGTTCATGCGCCTGGTGACCTGCCCCTCGGAGAAGGCCCGCCTCACTGTTTTCCTCTTCTGAAAGCGAGAGCAGAGACAAGGGCAGCGGAGTGCTTTCAGCAACACAAGCCATCTGGCAATCGATTATGTCCATCAGGATTGGAATAAATAACGGTAAGGAGTGCCACTTACAGAAGCCGAGTTCGGGGTTCGTACAGGGAAGAAATCGGGCACTGAGTTCAACTCCGCCAATAACTGAGCAAGCTGAAGTTTAGAACAAAGAAAGAGCGGTACGTAAATATTCCCAAGTCTGGTTTCTCCAACACCTGATCACAAGTCTTCAGTTCTGCAGCCACGACAAAACTTGACGAACATAGTTCAGGTATAATCTCAACGGTGGTTCTAATTTTAACCTCACAGGGGAAGATTTTCATCTCCGCAACTGACATCATCATTTGTAAGAATGAAATCTGTGCCCATTGCTTATGTGCAAGGACACGACACCACGCAAACTGTTCTGGAAGGACCAGGGCTCGGAGCATCAGGTTGGAATCCTGACGGGGTCGCTAACTAGTGTGAGCCTGGTTAGTGCACCTGAGTCAAGTTCCACCACGTTCAAAATAGAAAAGCCTCGACTAGACCAGGCTGGCAGTTGTTTAAGAAAAAATATTAACTTAAAATATCATCAATAATGATTTCTAAAAATATTTCCAAAAAAAGCAGCCAAGAACACCAAGTAACAGGCATTAGTGTACCGACTGTGCATTTTCATGAGAATCCTTTGAGTTCTAGATTTTATACCAAGTGGGGGTGTCATCAAAGATCACGAAGAACACAGTTAAAGATATAGACTGATACAGTGTTAAAATTTTCCTTAGATAATAATAAGCACAAGTGTGTCGCAGAATAAATTTCATTAAAAAGCTAACTTCGTATTTCCTTACATAACTTACTAGGCATGTAAGGTTGTATATACAATAGCATTACCTTACTGTTTTCTAAAGGAAAACATACCAAAATGCTGAGTGGCAGCAGCATTTTTTAAAACTCTGTGTGTACAAAATTATGAGGCCACCAGCAGTTACTGACCACATGCGGATAATCTGCATGGAGCAGATTTCACCTTGTTCCATTAATTAGTCTAGTGAAGACCCTCTAAGTTCAGTTCGCTTTAATGCCTAGACCTCTTTCATTCCGTCAGAGAGCGTCTGGACGGAAACCGCAGCGGGCCCTGCAGACACAAGGCTCTGGGCTGAAAGACGCCTGCCTGGCCTGCACACTGCCACTGGGGCTTCCCAACATCTCATTCCCAGGCCAGTGGGCCAGGATTAGCTGATGGCACAGAGCAGGGGGCTAATACATGGTGCTGGGAGCCTCCCTCTGGGTTTCCAAGCCAGAGCTCTTAGGTGATCACTGCTTAGGGTTCAGAAAGAGAGACCGCACACACAGCACCCAGACCGCACTATCCAACAGAAGCCAGAGCAGCAGCAGCCGTGAGAGCATGCATGCACAGCCTGAGCTTCAGCAGTGCTGGTCAGGACGTGCAGCTTCCAGACACCCCCGCGGGCCTTACCATGGCCTTGTTCTCCTTGATGTTCATGGCCCTTCTCAGCAGCGCATCCGAGTTCTCCTGGCCCTCATCCTCACACTCAGAGGCAGAATCTTCCCTTTCCTCCCCTTCTTCATAACTTCTTTTTCTCCCAAGACTGTTTTTTTTATTGTCCGGTAGGTGTGAGCTAGAAAACAGCGGCTCAGAAGAATCATTTTTGTCCATTTTTTTGGTTGATTTCTTGGTGGGGAATTGCAACGCTACTCGAAGACCAATACTGCTTCTTCTAGGCCTGCTTCTTCTAGGTGTAGCCTTTTCTTCTTCATCATCTTCCGCCTCCTCATTCACTGCTAATGCCTTACCATCATCACCCAAATCGGACTCCTCGAACTAACAAAAATGAGAAAAAACAAAGATGTTGTCTTACAACAGACTTTCAAAAAGGTATGCTTAAAACCACACTGATGTTATTTGAGGAAAGGAATAAACAGCTGAAAGCTTCCCCTTCTTACCAGTTCCCCTGAACATCTCAGTTCAGTGCTCAAGGAGCTTGTTGATGGATAAAGCGAAGGGCAGTCACGTGTGCCCTGCCCCCACTGAGCTCTCCTCGGTTTGATTTGGAGGAAGGATTCCCTCCGCTGCCCACAGCTCAGACCGGGGACTCCTCCCACAGGGCAGTCCCAGGAGCACCCCCGCACCACCTGGGAACTCGGTAGAAATGCACATTCGCAGCCCCTGGGGGACTGGGTTCCATTCAGAGCATCGGGCTGGAGCAAACTGGGCACCTGCTCAGTGGAACAGCCAGGCTGGCACAACTGGAAGCTGAGTAACGTAGGGCACAGTCCAAGAAAGGGGTGTGCGTGCCCTATGAGTCGTCTTCATGCACAAACAGGAGGGCTAAGGGAAGGCAGAAATACTGACTGTGCTGCAGCAACGGGGTTCAGAGAAAAGAGCAGACAGAGAACCTGCCACTGGGATCAGTGGGAGAACCAGGACGTGTGTCCTCACGCCCTTCTGTGACCGCAGAGCCGTGGGGTGGGCTGGGGGGAATCGAGGGAGACAGCTCTGCAGGTCACTATGAAACACCCATTCAGTCAGCTCAGGGAACTCTCTCCCCCAATTTCCCGCTCCACAGGGCACAGATCTCCGGCACTGAAACAGACCTGCGTTTTACACACAAACACAGTATGAATGGAAGGCGATGGTAGGGTGCCATTACCCAGGTGACATCTAAGTTGCAAGGGGATCACTAACAATAATAGAAAGAGGCTTAAATATTGAGATCAAGGACACCTCCTGGGCATCCTCCCGGGACCACAAGCCGGAAGGCTGAGTCTGGCTGGGGACCTCCACCAGACTTGGACGACGGGGCCACTGGGAACAGAGCAGCGGGCAGCACCAGGACGGGGCTGGGGCCCACTTACATGACTCTGCTCCCTCCTCAATGACCTCCCCCAAATTCTAGCTGGACCCCAGAAAAATAAGGCAGAGGGAGAAAAAAATGCAGTAACAGCCAAACCTTGGTAGATGTTATCAATCCACAAGCCAAGTAGAGAAATAAACTGTACTAATTTATCTCGCTATATTTTTAATATCCTGAACTTCCTACATTAAATAGCTTTGGAACTGAAAATGGTAGGCTGCCAAGGAATCCCATTTTAGGAAACACCGTTGGAGAGGAACTGTCCCCCACATTGGCTTTATTTATCATCCTCATCACCTAACCCACTTCTTTTCACTAAGGAGGCGGAGCAGCCTGCTAAGAAGTAGGCAAAGAGTAAGCTGCAAAAACACCAGCAGACACGCAGCCCTGAGAGGAAGAACACCAGGGCCAGCTCCCTGCTGTGGCCGTTCACCTCTGGCTAGAAGACCACGAGGCAGCAAGATACAGTAATATCCTATTCCCAGAAAAGGTGCTATCACCAGTCCTCACTGGAGGGGCGGAGGGGGGCGCAGAGGGCTGGGTGCAGAGAAAACAAAGCTTGTTTTCTCACCAAATGTTGAGGTGGACCTGCCCTGAGCTATGACTTTGTTACGACAGAGTCAACATAACATGTCACAGTTCATACCCCAAATATAGAGTTTAGGGGGCAGGGGGAGACTTGGAGGGTCATTAATTGACTTTGCCATGCTGGAAACATGAATTCTCTGCACAGCTAGGTATCACTTAACTACAGAAGAGAAGAGAAGTCACTTAAGAGAAGATGATACTGGCTGGGGTTTAGAAGGGTCTCGGTGTCTTGCTGGCCAGCACGCATGACCACCAGGCAAACAGCTTATTTAAAGAAAGCCACGGGAGGGCCGGAGCCCCCAGCCTGGCACAGCGCTGTGTTGCTATTCATGGGAAGAAACCTCACCATCAAACCAGGCAGCCTACCATCAGCGCTCTCAGGCCTTAAATTCCCAGGAAAAGGCGAGGATGCAGCGGACCTACTAGTTACAGTTTATTTAAACGTCTACACAGGTTCCATGTCAGAAGTGGCTCCTTAGGAGCTTCTGACCATGAAGAGGCTTCACCTCTGTCTTTCTCTTGATACAGAAGAAGGAAGTGGTACTGATTTTTGGGGACCCATGTATGCTATTTTTCACTTAGCAGAAAACACTTTTATGCCTAAAAATAATCCAAAGACTTTTTAAAAACAGTCAGCCTGAGATTCAAAACCAGTCAGCAGTAAACTGGCCTAAACACATGGAATAATGGGAGACATCAACCCACAAACCAGTCTGCTTACTGCAAAGTGAAGAGAACAGATTTCCCCCAGGAATCAGGCAGACCTGGGTCTTCTTTCTCATTCAAAAGCACATCACATTCCCAACCAAGAAGGCGCAAGGAAAGTCCAGGACTGCACCATGGCTAAGACTTTGCCTAATTAACCATAAACCCAAGAGTACCACTTCGCAGGATGAAATGACTTTTAAGACTTGTTACTACCCAACAGACCTTCCTCTTTTCAGATAAAAGAGGTTCAAGTCTTTGAACCCTGACTGGTGTGGCTCAGTTGGTTGGACGTTGCCACGCAAGGCGCGGTGTAGCCAGTTGGGAGTCCAGATCGGGGCACATGCCTGGGCTGTGTGTCTCTGAAGAGACAACCAACTGATGTTTCTCTCCATCTTTCTCCCTCCCCTTCCTCTAAAAATGAATAAATAAAAAAGGAATGTCTTTGACAAGGACAATGAGGGACACCTAGCACCTGGGACACATCCCCCAAAAACTCTAGAATGGGGGTGTCAAACTCATTTTCACCTGCCCTTTGAAGGCAACCACGAGGCTGTGGCCCCCGGTGAAAATGAGTTTGACAGTTCTGTTCTAGAGGCACCAGGGGAAGACAACTGGATTTTCGCTGAGAATAATGAACTGGTGGTATTCTACTGACCTTAGAATAGCAATTTTTGAAACCTGACTGGTATGGCTGAGTGGACTGAGCACCAGCCTGTGAACCAAAGGGTTCTGGTTAGATCCCCAGTCAGGGCACATACATGGGTTGTGAGCCAGGTCCCCAGGAGCGGGGGGCACGAGAGGCAGCCATGCACTGAGTTTCTCTCCCTCTCTCCCCCCCCCACTCTCTAAAAATAAATAAATAAAATCTTTAAAAAAAGGTTTTTTTGTCTTTTGTTAACTGTCTTGTAAGATAAACATGTTAGGGAAAGTAACAGCTTTTCATTTGTGAAGTGACTTCTCACAAATAAAAAGACAATTCAGAGACAGGACTAAAATAGGACAACCCGCACCCCCCCCGTGCTAATAATTATTACCTTTACGTCCGAGACACTGTTTACGTTCAGATCACTCTGTGTGAATCCCTCAAAATCCTCCGAGTCAGTGTCCTCTACAAAGATTCTTCTTAGCTCTTCCGTGAAGTACTTGGAACGGAAGGGCACACTCTGCTAAATTAAAAAACACACACATCACAGAGAAAGAAGAACAGGTCACCAGGGTTTCCAGGCAATGGGGAGCTGTGGCTTGATCAGTCCCGAGTTTGTTTCAGAGGATGGAAACTTTCTGGAAAAGGACAATAGTGACGGCTGCCCAACACCGTGAATATACTTAATGCCACTCAGCGTCGTGCTGGCAGGAAACTGGGAACTTGTCTACACGTAAGAATGGTTACAATGGCACAGTTTATGCTACGTGTATTTTATCACAATAAACACACACACACCTCACATTTTCCGTGGCTTACAGAAATTTAGGCCTGCAAATGGAATGATTTCAAAAACTCAACATCCACGGTGCCAATCGGCTTCTTGTCCGACCCGTAAGTGTTGACAGAAGCCAGCCTCTCCCGCCAGGGCCACCCATCAGGAGTGTCTGCCTCTACACCGGGCCGAGAGCCACGGGAAGGACATGGAACACGTGAGGGAAACCCTGGCTCCCTCCCACCCTGTCCTTGCTGGTGGCCACCCAAGACACTTCTCCTCTAAGTCACCGAGCACGACTCTCTTCTTCAAGTGTTATTTATTTATTTATTTTTAGAGAAAGAGAGAGGGGACCATCACTTTGTTGCTCCACTCATTTGTGCCTTCGTGGGCTGATTCTTGGATGAGCCCTGACTGGGGACGGAACCCGCCACCTTGGTGCATCAGGGATGATATTCTAACCAACTGAGCTACCGGCCAGGGCCAGGCATGTCTCCCTTTCACAGAAAGAGCTGAAGAGCTTCACACTCCCCTGCCTGCCTGCCCGCCCGCCCACTGCTGAGCTCACTGCAGTGGCCACTCCACAAACTGCCCCGGGGGCCTGGTGGCTAACCCAGCAGAGTCCCCAGGTGGTAAGAGGCCACACCCACCGACAGGCAGCAAGTGAGAAGAAAAGATGTTGTATGACTGATTCTTTAAAAAAGAGAACTTCTTCTACCTTTTGAACTAATAAAAAGAAGGAAACTGGGTTTTCTAGTTGGCATGCCTGAGAGAGAGGAGAGAGAGAGGCAGGCCCTGAAGTTCAGGGAGGAGACCCACCAACAGCCTGGTCCAAGCCAGCAGCCCGGCCGGGGCCCACGTCCCCAGCTGCCTGTGACGTCTCTTCCCCACACCCCCGAGGCAGCAGTGACCCCTCACCACACCGCCTCCAATCGGAGACACTTCACCTCCCCGTGCCTTCCCCGACTTTAATTATATACTTCAGTCTCCTCTCATCTCTGGAGATATACAAATGTAACAGACGAGTGGAGAAACTTACAGAAAATTGAGAAAAGAACTGTCTGTATCCAGCACTTTTTAAAGCTTAAAAGGTGCCCTCTGAATCCCCTCTGAATGACTATGGGTAACTGGAGTGAGTGTACTCAGGGCTAAATTACTTTGTTCCTTGTTAGTGGCTGTGGTGCAGCTGCTTGAAAATATACACACACAGAGGAAGTTTCTTCAGAGTGAAATTCAAACTGTGTTGAAGGGAGACCAAAGTCAGCATTGCTACACACACTGAGTACGAGTTCATGCAGCTTGTCCCGTCCGGTTCAAGTGGACCTGTGTGCGGGTCTGCAAGGGGAAGCAGCAACGAGGATTTATGATTAAGGAAGAAAGGTGCCCAGGTGGCGCCCGAGGAAACCCACTGGACCTGCTATCTCCCACCGGGGGCGGGAAACATCTGGTTCCTAGAGGCCCGGCCGGCCCCTGCAGGCTGTTTCGGGAACGGGGTCAGGGTGCAAATTTCATCACCCCCCCACAGTCCCTGCCTCGGGCCTGAAGAAAAGCACCAGGCCCCACAGTGGCAAGCTGCCCACTTCCGGTCCTCGGGCAGTTGCTACCCTTTGAGCTGGCCTAACAGGGCAGTGGTCAGCCCGGGAGAAATCCGTATCTTTGACGACCGAGTTCTGATACAGAAAAACAACTCAGCCACGTCTCCAAACCAAGGCCCTGCTTTTGCCCTCCTCACCCGACAGGGTCTGAGGAGTATTGTCACCGTGCCTCCGTGTGAAGCACGTGCACACCGCACCCAGCCCCGCGGCCCACTAGGGCACAACCCCTCGTGCGTGGTGGCTCTCGGCTCTCCGGGGTACTAGGCCGAATGTTAGGAGCCCTGGTAGCCGTGACCAAGGCCATGAGCACATAACTGTTATGAAGAGGCGCTAACAGAGTGGCTGCCTCTTCATTTTGAAGCTCACGTGACATGAAACAGACTGGAAAGTGATGGCAGGCGAACAAAGCAGACCAGCATCCCACATCAATTCCGCCCCACAGGTGCTCACTCACAACGGGTGCTGGGTGCACGAAGCAGGGGGGAAGGGGAGACAAGCAGTCCAAGCCAGCAAAGCGGGAAGTGCCACCCAAGTATGGGGTCCCTTCTGTCAGAGCCTGTCATTTAGTGGGGGAGCCAGACAGGTCCCAAGGAACCACGGTGAGGATCAGTGACAGAAGGAAGACACAGCACGATGGCACTCAGAATGAAAGAAAATCCAGTAAGACTTCCTGGAAGCAGCAGCATTTGGACTGGATTGGAACTGGGGCAGAGCCAACACACAGGCAGACGAACGGCACGGACCAGGGTACGCACAGGGCAGAACGGTCTGTAGGTGGGAAGCGATGCAGCTTCTGCTCTACAGCAGCACTGCAGGCAGGAAGAGAGCACTGGGAGTTAGTTAAGTAGTGCGGCTAGACCCTGGGCCAGTTACTTCCCCTCCTGAGCGCCGATTTCATCACCTGTAAAATGGGGATAACACGGCACCTACACCTCCCAGGTAGGCACACGAATTAAGTGCAATCTGTATGAAAAGCATATTGTCATAGGCCACCTAAGTAAGGCATGGGGGGGGCCCACGAGCACACTGAGGCAATGCTGGGGATGGGGAGGGGACCGGGCCTGACCACACAGAAGTAGCAGCCATCATAGCAGCCAAGGCAGCTGCTTGGTTTCCTAAAGCCTCCTGAATGCTCAGCACTTTACCCACTTTTCACACGGATCCAACAGGCTCCCCTCTCCCTTGCCGCCCAGCCACACTTGCGTGGAGAGGAAGGGAGGACCGTGACCACAGCCCAGTTCTACAGCTGAGCTAAAGGCTTCGAGGAAGAGAAGGGAAGGAATGGAGGCAAGAAGATTCGCCAACTCCTGGAAGGCAGTCAGGAAGCTGAGGGAGCAGGAGGAAGGATCAAGGACGCCAAAGACGGAGACAACAAAGGGGGAGCCAGACAGACCCCCAGGGGAGGGAAAAGGTTACGTTCCAGCTCAGCCCAGCTGGCAGTCAGGAGTGCATCTGCGGCGGAGGAGAAGCCAAGCCTTGGAACTGGGAGGTAACGGCTGAAAACAGGCCAGCCACTGAGATCACTAACTGAGAGGGTCTGAAGGCAAAACCGTGGACAACATCCACGGATGGGGACGGGAAAGGGAAGAGATGACCACCAAGAACGGTGTACCCGAGGGGAAGAGAACCAGGGGAGTGGAAGCAGGCAGCTGGTGGGGTGGAACACTGTGGAGACATCGAGTAAGGCAAGGACCACAGGTGGCGGGGGGGGGGGGGTCCACATCCTGGGAAAACACAGCTCCACTGAGGCCAAAGCTACGCAGCCAGCCGAGCCATCAGCCTGGCACTGCCCTCAGACACAAGTAATTGCCTTCCTGCACCTGACCAGTGGATGCGGGTGGGTTTAATTTACAGCCTTTTAAAAGACACCATGGTCGAGGGAGAACGAGGACTTCTGAGTGCGAGGTATCTCAGTGGGCCACGCCATTGCTAAGGCACAATGCAAACTCTCAGAGAACTCTAACTTGTGTGTGCCACAAAGTAATCACAGAAGGAGCAATGCTCCTCCTGACAATTCCAAGAGGGAAGTGCAGACAGAACCACGCCACAGGAGCAAAGATGCAACTGTCCTGTGGTAATGACACATTCCAGCACTGCGCTGCGTGGCGTGGGCTATCGCTGTGAGGGCCAGTCCCCCCCCACACACACACACCCGCTGTGTGCAAGTCTCTGAATACAGCCTCATCACAGGCAGCAGTCCCAGTCCCGAGGTTGCACGGAGAATGGATTTGATCGTGTGAGGTCCCCTTCATTAAAAAAACAAAACTATTGTACATAAGGATTTAAACAGCAAAAGGGAGCTAGGTACTCTCACCAGTTTCTTGAAAAATGAAGGCATAATGCTTGTACAATAAAATGCTCCACAATTAACCAACACCGCCAATCTCAGATCACGTGGTGTAAAGAAAGAGTATCCGAGCCAAGGCCCAGGCTTCCGGACGGACACAAAGGCACCCGTACCTGTCTCCCTGACTCCAGGGAGCCCAGACTATTGCAGCTCTCCTCCAATGGGCGGGTTTCCGTGGGAACATCGTCTTGGAAGCCGACAAACTCTTCATCATCACTAGGAGCATTAAAGATGTCAGACACTTCTTTAGAGATCTGTTCGGGATTTAAAACAGAAAAAGGATAATCACTTAGGGAAATTTTCTAAAGAGGAGGAAGACCCTTTAGGAATTACCATCCCATAACTGGATCAGTCTGCCTTGGTTGTCCTGGAGACCCCAGTAACCCTGAGCCAAATGTGTGTCAGCACAAACCTCAGGCAACAAGGGAGGGGGGATGGAAATAAGACTTCCTGGAACTCTAGAGATATATATCCCAGCTTATGGAGAATGTGAAGACCACACCTAGACAGAAGCCATTTTTGATCTCAACAAAAAGTGAGAAAACTAGGCATCCATCTCTGAGAAACCAATGCTCTATTTGTCTCCTGCGGTGGATGTGCCTTTAAATGACCTCCATGGAAAAGAGCTTCCATAAGATGCTACTGTACTCCCCTCCTTTCTCAATTCCCACCTACAGTTCTTCACTTTTCTGTTCTTTCTCATACGCCGATTCAGAGATGAAGACGCACATCATGAGATAGCTCCCCTTCTTTCCTATAGTCTCCCTTCTTTCCCATGTTCAATCTACTGCATAAGGAGGCAAAAAATGGCAGGTTACCCTTATTAGTCAGTCATGTTTTAAAAACATGATTAAAACTTTAAAACACATGTGTGAGGATGAAGTAGTGTAATAAACACACGTCGACCCCGGCCCAGCAAGTATCAGTCTGTGAGTCCCTACCCCACTGTCCTCCTTCCAAAATTATTTTGAAGCAGCTATAGACAGTAGCATTCACCCTATGTAAACAGCACATACAGTCTGTGATTGCAGTTTTATTAACTTATTTAACTCAGTTTATTTGCGTCATCCTCCAAATAAGGTTTATGTAGCAGTTAATGTGTCTCTTAAGTCCTTCCTTACGTTTCCTTTTTTTTCTTTTAATGTCTCCATTTACCTTTTCTTTCTTGCAACTCATTTTTGAAGAAACTGGGTCCTTGCACTTTAGCATTTGCCAGAATTTATTTGTTTACAGCCCCAAGATAGTATTTCACAGACTCCTGTCCCTTTGGATTTCTTGTGCTTTGACACCTGAATGTGGAGTCTGATGGGGCCTCCGGATCCAGGTTTGCCTCTGGCACTGCCTCCCGGATGGCGCCGAGCTGCGTTCTTCCTTTGGAAAGCACGTCCCGTCTGGCTGTCTCACTTTTTAGTGGTCAAGCTATTTGAGTAACAGGTTAAGGTGGGGTCTTCCAGGTTTCTCCCCAGCAAAAATACTTAGTAAATATACGAGGGTAACGTTAACAGCTGTGGTGATATTTGAGAGAAATATCTCAGTCTGTGAATATCCTTCCCCCCAATGATAACACTCCCCTCAGTCCTTTCGGTATCCATCAACAACTCTTGCCTGAATCGGTTACTGCATTAGGGATACAAAATGGTGATTTTCCCATTCTAGTCCCCCTCCATATACTAGCTGGCATTTTCTGTAATACAATATTCTCTCTCTTCCTGTCTTTCCCTTCTCCCCACCTCCCCCCATCATGTAGATTCATGGATTTTTTTAACTCAATGTTATAACCCATTACTGCCATCATTCTTTCTGAGGCCCAAACTGTTCGCTCCTTCAAGCTGGGTTCTGTGTCCTTCTGACACAACCCTAACAGGCTGTGGTCACTTCCTTCCTTTCTGTCACAAGGAGCAGGCTGAGCTAGCCTTGCACTTCACCTGCCCCAGGCCTTGAATCAGCCACTTCTCCAAGGAGCCCAGGCAATGCCTTTGGCGATGATTTCTTGGATATGACACCAACACCACAGACAATAGTAGGAAAAACAGATACATTGGACTGCTTCCAAATTAAAGGCTTTTGTGCATCAAAGAACACGACCCAGAGAGTGAAAGCGGTAACCTACAGAATGGGAGAAAATGTTTGCAAATCACGCATGTGATAAGGGATTGATACCCAGAGTATATAACGAACTCCTACAGCTCAACAATAAATACCCACTGAAAAAATAAGCAAAGGACTTAAGTAGACATTTCTCCAAAGATATACAGATGGCCACTAGGCACACAAAAAGACGTTCAGCATCACCCACCATTAGGGAAATGCAAACTGAAACCACAACGAGATACCCCTTCACCCCCACTGGGATGGTTACTAGCAACAGAACTGAAAATGCATGAGTACTGGCGAGGATGTGAGGACATCAGAACCCTCGTGGACTGTCTGTGGGAAAGGTGGCCAGCACAGTGGCCACCTGGCGGGCAGTGTGGTGGGTCCTCGGAGTCAAGCTACAGTTCTCACCCCCGACCCAGGAACTCCACTTCCACATTACAAGTGGGGGTTCAAACAGACGTTTTACGCCAACGTTCATAGCAGCATTTTCCACAATAGCCAAAAGGTGAAAGCAGCCCAAATCGAGTGTCCGTGGATGAATGAACGGATAAGCGACACATGGTAAATACACACGTATGACGCATTATTATCGAGCTTTTAAAAAGAATGAAATTCTGACATGTTCCAGCACAAGTGAATCTTGACGACAACGTTGTGTTAAGTGAAATAAGGCAGACACAAAAGGGCCAACACCGTATGACCCCAATACAACTCACAGCAGCCACCCAGACTAGTCAAACTCGCAGAGACAGGGACTGGAGTGGGGGCGGGAAGGGGGAGTTCAGGTTCAGTGGCGCCGAGTTACGACGTCAGATGGTGTCCTTCTGGAGACGGACGGTGGCGGAGGTGGGGTACACAACAATGTAACTCAGCTTCACGCCACTGAATTATACACTTACAGTTAACACGATCCATTTTATGTTGTATTTTATCACAGTAAAAATGAGGACAAAAGAAAAATAATCAAAGTTATTTTAAATTCTATGTATTTATTTTTAGAGGGGAAGGGAGGGAGAAAGAGAGGCAGAGAAACACTATGTGAGAGAGATGTGTTCATAGGTTGCCTCTTGCACACTCCCAGTCGGGGACCTGGCCTACAATTCCCAGGCATGTGCCCTGACTGGGAATTGAACCAGTGACCTCTCAGTTTGCAGGACAGTGCTCAATCCACTGAGCCACAACAGCCAGGGCATCGATGTTATTTTTAAGAGAGAAAAATATGAGTGGGGAGAAATTTTAGTCAAGTAAATTGGCAGAGGTCCTGGGAAGGAAGTGAGCCAAGCCACTTGGGAAGTGCTAGGTAATTTCCTTTTCCAGAAAGGTCAGCAGACAGGAAATGTAAAGCCAGTGTTAAGATTTCTCTAGATTCTGAAAGACTGATTATCAAGTCAGACAAGCTGACTCAGTGATTTTTAACCAGGTGCTACTGGCACTTTGGACAGGTCTGCTCTGCCCTGTGGGACTCCCCTGCCGTGCACAGGGCACTTACCACCCCCGAACACTAAGCCACTTCTGTACAGGAGCATTCCTCTCACCCCCCTGCACTAACAGCCGAGACGCCCACATGGCAGTGAGGTGTTACCTTTGTGTAAGTGATTCCCATTACCTTTCCACTGCCTTTGTGTGTCTGCCAGCACGCAACAGGTTAAAAGCAACAGCAAACAACTCCACATTTCAAAGACTTAAAATAAAGCCAGGTTCCTCTCCTATTCCCATGACATACTCCTCGTGGGCCAGCCAAGGGAACCACCTCACACTCCCCCACAGGACCCTGTCCTCAGGACCCTGTGGACACAGGGCACAGGACCCAGCTGACCTACCACCGCCATCTGGAGAGCTGGCAGATGGAGGGCAAGCGAGACGCGGAACGGGACGCTCTGGTGATTAAAGAATTCCCCCCAGATGTGACACACAACACCTCTGCTCACGTTCCCCTCGCCAAAGCACGTCCAACGGCCTCACCTATTTCAAGGCCCAGAAAAATGTGTCCTCCCAGACACCCAGAAGGAAAAGGAAGAGAACACCTGTATGAAGCCCTAGTGGCCCCCAAACTATGACTGGACAAACATTCTGTGACACAGATGCCACTCTGCCCACGGTCACAATGTAAAGTTATTAAAAAGATGGTAATAGTACCAACATGTGCTAGGCATCTGATGAGGAATGAGTCATCGGAGGTAGGGGGAGCCAGACAATCTTTAAACAGTGAGAATGCGGGGTGATAAATGTGAACAGGGAACAGTCCGGAAGGGCACCCGACCCAGCTGTGGAGGTGACGATGGTCAGGAAGACTTCTAGGGGCCTCAGGATCAGCCACATATGAGATCAGCCACGGCTATGCAGCTGCAGGACACAGCCTGGCGCAGGGAGGACTTGCAGCAGATTTATAGGTGAAAGAAAAAAGAGTTACGGAAGGTAAAGTACGGCCTAGGGAATACAGCCACAATATTGTAATAAGCAGACACAGCACCAGTGGGTGCTGGACTTACGGAGGGGGTGGAACCACCTCTTCAGGTGTAGAAATGTCTGATCCCTACACTGTCTACCTGAAACTGATATATTCCACGTCAACTGACACTGCAACCAGGAAAACAAAGTCTGGAGCACATGAGACGCGAAGCGCCCCCCTTTCAGAGGAGCATGTCCTGAGCTCAATGCAGACAGGCACCAACCAGACCCACACACAGAGGGGAGGATCTCCACGCCCCAGCCCAGCCCTGGAAGCCTTTATACAGGGATCCTCTTGACACACTTTTGTCCTCGAGAGGAAAACGTGCCCCAACAATCACTGGGCCGGCGGCTCGTGGGGCAGCTGACACCACTTGGCTCCTGGCACTGTGCCGGAGTGAATGTACACACCCCCTAAGCACGCACGCACGCTTCCTCGGCTCCTAATTACAGCCGGGGAAGAGGACACACCCAGCAGGATGAAGGTCAGGAGGACAACTAGATGCTCTTTCCAGTGAGTTTTTAAAGCTGGGAGAGTTGGGGAAACAGAGTTAAAGTCTTTGTTGTTGCCGTTTCTCTAAGTCACATGAGGCCCTGCATGTGGGGAAGGGTAACTGAGGCCCCTTTTTTGCTATTTTAAATTATCAAGCTATTGGTATTTTAATTAGAAATAAAATCTCTCTAAGTAAAAAAATGCCCGGTGCCAATT